CGACTCAAGCTCACGATGTATGCCATTCGTCGACCCGCATGTGAAAGAAAGGTTCTTGTTTCTGCGTGTTTTTATTCGATAGATGCTGCAATTCACCAACGTGCGTTCAATATAATGATCGATCTTTGGATAAAATCGCAACAGAACCACGACAATTTATCAAATTCATAAAGGTGCGGTGGTGGGTGGGGGCTAGCAGCGTTATCAACCAAATGAGCAATTCTTGATAAATTGAGGGTTTCTCGAGCAATACAATTTGGTGAAATGCGACCAGTGACCAAGCCAGCGAATGTCTGGGATGCCGACATGGTGCAGATTTGTGGCCGATTCCATGCAGGTTATTAAGGATTCTGTATCAATTAAGGTGTGAATGAATACTCGGTAAATTGTCTCGTGCCAGTGACGGCTTCGTGTCCATCTAACGACACCTAGCGACAATTTTTTGTAATTTTCCGCATTGGAGAGTTGCCAACTCTGGGTTGAGCGAGAGATGCATCGTTCCACTTTTGCTCTCACTTCTCAGTGCCAGTATACCCTGGCTCGCCATGAGAAGGCAGTAGAGCAAGTTTACTAATCGCCATCTGTTTCCATGTGTACGGGAATGTTTGGACACCCCTCTGCCCTCCCCCCCGTGAGTGGGGGTGATATTACATTTCAAATAAAATCTTTTAAATATTTGTATAAACAAATTCTTAATTTTATATATATATAAAAATCCTAACCAGGACCCTCCTGAAAACGAATCATGCAATGCAGTGCGGCTCTCCTGCATAAATAAAAAAAACCCCGTAAAAAACATTTCAATTAATGATGCAGGAGTGATATCTGTACTACTGTGTGAATCAGAGCGCTGGATCCTTAACCGAGTGGTTTAAAACGCAGCTTCTGGCATTTAGAGCACCGGACGGATGCTGTTAAGTTTGTGGCAGGACACGGCGAGAAATGCAAGAGGCTCAGAGAGCAGAGCAGTCCACTTGGGGTCACGGGCACCGCGTTCCCCTGTGCAGCAGCTGTGCGATGTGGCAGAGGGCCACGAGGTGCGATGCCATCTACGGCGTTGGCCATGAACAAACGACAAACATTTCGATCTTTCCGTAAAGTCACCTAGTTAGAATTAAAATAAAACAAATCACGACGTTTCGATCGCTTGTGTTGCGATCGAAACGTCGTGATTTGTTTTGTTTGATTTCAACCTACGTGGCTTTACCGAAAGAACCAAAGAGTATGGATTTCTGCAGTCACGAAAGCTTCAAATCAAGATCTCGATCTTGATTTCATTGAGCAAGACGAGTGTTTTTTTTCTTCCCCCGGCCACCTTAGGCGAGATTTGATATTTTGCATCCACGACTGCCCTCTCCTGGATAAGGTGTGACTAGCACGTGCCGTGGCGAGGACTGCCAGAATCAGAATTATGTATTTATACTGGAGGAATCCGATCAGCTATAAAGCTTTTTTTAACACAGCTATCCAGGAGGCGCATTGCATTCGCGATGGCTTGAAGGGCGAGGAGGCTTCACGTTAGAGGGTAAGCCGTGTGGGGGGGGGGGGGTAGCGGTGGCACACGATGGCCGTAAGACCACCACGAACGAAAGTGGTTAAATCTATACTCTTTGGTTCTTTTGTTAAAGTCACGTAGGTAGAAAAATAATAGATCACGACGTTACAGCAGGGTAACTGCCGTCAGCTGTCAGCAGTTCTCCTGCTGTATAATGTTCCACTTGATGACGGTCGCTTGTGTTGCGATCGAAACGTCGTGATCGATTAATTTTCTACCCGCGCGACTTCACCGAAAAAGCACCAATAGAGTATGGATTCCTGCATTCACGAAAGCTTCAAATCAAGATTGGTCGAATCTACTTGGACGACATGGACACATCACACCTAGAACGTGCAGCCCTGTTTACACGCGCCATCCGATTGCACATTACAGGAGATTGAGAGTCAATGTTGGTCGATGCATTGGTAGCATCGTTACACACCAAAGCCAAAAAAAGCGCTGTGAGCGAGCACCTACGAAGGCCGGCACGAGGGGGTGGGTGGCCAGCACCTCGCCCGGACGCCTTTGTCTCCCCTGTGGCGATGTTTTACTACACACCGCACCAGGCGCTCTATTTGGAGTTCCAGGAGCAGGTTCCCCAAGCTGAAAGCGCGCACACACTTGAGCATGCCACACACACACACACACGCGTTATTCCACAAGGTGACCAGGGGTGTCTCGACAAAGGTGGGGAACCTTTGATTTAAAGATTTCGTGACTGCGGTGATTCATATTGTTGGTTCTTTCGGTAAAGTCACGTTGATGGGAAACAATAAAATATATAAAACAATAAAATTCTCACGACGTTTCGACTGCAACACAAGCAGTCATCATCAGGTGTGAAAACCACAACGGCAAGAAACATTGTTGATGATGATGATGACTGCTTGTGTTGCAGTCGAAACGTCGTGAGAATTTTATTGTTTTATATATATTTTATTTTGATTTAAAGCTTTCGTGACTGCAGTCATTCATATTCTTAGCTCTTTCGGTAAAGTCACGTTGAAGGGAAACAATAAAATAATAATATATATAAAACAATAAAAATTCTCACGACGTTTCGACCATAACGCAAACGGTCATCGAAACGTCGTGAGAATTTGTATTGTTTTTAATATATTTTATTATTTTATTGTTTCCCTTCAACGTGACTTTACCGAAAGAACCAAGATTATAAGGTGGGAACCACCAACCCCGCACCGACCAGCATGGGTGAAGTATGGTCAAACAAACACACATAAGAGACAACGGCGTGGGAAGAGCGTCCAAACAGCTGCATATGAAAAATGAGACCTAATTATCTAACAAATAAATACTGCACTGTACCGCCAATTAAGTCCGGAACGCTGATCCGGGATTAATTTTGGCACGCAACATCCATCGCTTTAGGTAAAGTCACGTAGGTTAAAAAAATAAAAATCAAATCAAATCACGACGTTTCGGAGGCAACACAAGCTTCCTTCATCAGGTGTACAAAAAGGCACAGCAAAAGTAAACGTCGTGATGAAGGAAGCTTGTGTTGCCTCCGAAACGTCGTGATTTGATTTGATTTTGATTGATTTATTATTGTGGTTTTAACCTACGTGACTTTACCTAAAGAACCAGAGTATGGATCATTGCAGTCACGAAAACTTCAAATCTAGAATCCATCGCTTTGTCTTTTTTTATAAAAAAAAAATATGTTTATAAGATTTGACTAATTAAGTATACATCCATTTTTTATGATAAGGGGAAGCCGTACCTTCAAATGTGCCTTCAATTACAGGGTGGTCCGGATGTATCGTGACCCGCACCCCCCAAGTAATTTACCCCTAACATTGTTTTCCTGAGTATTTTTTATTGTTTTAAATAAACCTTGCTTTAAAAAACTTTTAAAAAATTGAGAATTACATCGGGGGGGGGGGGGGGGCGCACAAGACATCAGGACCACCCTGTCTGCGCTCCCTACTCCAAGTTGCGAGTTTTACCGGACACAAGTTGAACTTGACATTTATCTACACGCGTGCGAGTGGTTTCTTACGCATACAATTTCCTACTTCGCAGGAAAGATAAGGCTCCAATGGGATTCCTTCCTCCTACACCCATCCGCGTCGGACCAACCTAATAAGGCGTTTTGGAGACGCGGGACATGTCTGTTGAGGCCTCTCCGTCGGCCCTTCTTAAGTGTCCCACCCTCCAATCTTGAGAACCACACCACTCACCCCTCACAGCAGTCCTGTTGCCAGCCACAATTCAGATATACAGGACTCACCATACGGCAGCAGAAGATGGTTGTTTTGTTTTTCGCAGACCAAACCCCACATTTTGCTCAGTCAGTTTAGGTATTTGAAAACTGTGCGGTGCACTGCACTTCTATGACGTTCAACACGTACCACCAGAAATCGGTATAAATACATTCACGCCACCTCAACACAAATACCAATTCGCAAAGACAGTCTCTCTCTCTCTTTGCCTCCAGCCACAATCCCATGTGTTGCATCTGTGCGCAAATTCCATGCTGGATGAGATTGAGGCTGAACTTGGCAAAACCAGTTCCCAGGCCCGGTTCAGTATTCCTAAAGACAAGTGGTCCAATTGCACGCACCGATAACAATTATAAGCCATTCCGTTGAGGTTGTTTTGCTCGTGAAGCAAAATTTAACAATTTGCATATTTCATTTGCAAATCCTCGCTATCGTTCTGAATGTGTTGACCCTGTATATTTTCACCAGGTGTAACTAAACGTCACGCAATGATTAATAAAAAGGCAGCCGTCCAGCACGGCACGGGACCTATCTCCAGAAACTCTTCGAATCTTGTTTTAGTTTGGCTGATTCAGTGTAAATAAATGCATCTTAGGATTTAGAGTTTGTCAAAAAAAATATTTGAGACCTTCAGCAACGTAAAGCGATTCTGTCAGTGGCGATAGACCAACAGCCTCGGAAGGACTTCAGTGAATTAATAGCGCTATAAATTCGTACTCCCCATCCTAACAATCACAACTCCTGATGCTGGGCGCTCAGACACCGCGTCTGCAATGGTTCGCAATGAGCAAGCACGTGCTTTCTACTCATTAAACGGAGGCAAGATATGCGTCTTTAGTTAACTGCCGCCATACGGTTTGTCACTTGTGGACTTTTAAATACACTCTCGACATAGCTTAAAACATGAGTGAAAACATTTTATGTCAAGTATGGGGATTTCAGTTGTGGAGGCAATGGACAGGGAAATATCTAATAGAAACGGTAATACAAATCCATTACATCCTGAATTAATGTAATAGATATGCCAGCGTTTATTATTGCTTCCCCAACGGATGTTGTTTGGAGTTATTACCGTTGCTAAAGTTTATTCGTTGTGAAACGGACGAAAAGGTACAGGGTAAACCACAATATTGTCCTGGCCAGTGTCTCAACATGTCATTTAACTACAGTATATGTTCCAACAACAAAGCGGCTAGTGCGATTCAAATATGCAACAAAAGTGGCTTTTAACAGTTTATTTATACTGCATGCAAATCACAGACTTATATCCAAGCCAGCTTCAATGGGCTGGACATATACAGTTAGAGCAAAAGCATTGCCATATACACAAGTCAAAGACTTTGCGTCACCACAGACATCAACTTTCTAGGTTAAGGCAGAGTACGCTGTACTACATTCATACGTTGACATGGTCCTTAAGGTTTAAACATGGATTTAGTTTATACACACTGCAGTGAGAAAAATATCCTGATCGTCTTCCCACAACTGTTTTACATTCTTAAATAACCCAGGCCTGTCCATATATCACCTGCTCACATCTACTGTTGTAATGCCCAATATCCTATATTAGCAAGACAACAGCAAACGTTTTTATTTCTGCATCACCATTAAAATCGCTAAACAGTTACCTTGGTTTTCAATACTGAAGTTGTGGTTAACAGTCTGACATACAAGGTTAGAACGGTTATGTAAACAAGATTTAGATGCACATTAGGCTTTTACAAATGATATCGAATCTTCAACCACTTTTCAAGGCCATTCCACGTGGCCGTCAGGACAATAAAAACACAAAAACTTCAAATGGCAGTCGCAGTAGACATGGGTGCATGCTCACAGTCCAATGCCTAAAAGCTCAAAAACGTTGCGTCATAAAAAAAATGTTAAACTATTATGCTGTAACATTTTTACCATGCTGGACACAATAAATTCATCTAAAATGTTTTTTTATTTGTTTAAATAAGGACCCTGGGGGGAAAACAGCCATGAACAATGTAAAATCATGTTATTTCAACTTTAATGTATAGTAAGTTCTCCAAATAACCCAGCTGCAACAGTGCTGAATAGGGACACTTAAAAATTGAAACTCAAAAACAAAAGCGATACGTTATCTTGTGGTTTAATGCTTACTTTATACACAGACAGAATTCATCAAAAAGTACAATGTAAAGCACACTATTGTCCTGGATTAATCTTTTCCCTTTTTTTGCTGAAGTTGATAGTTATCACATTATATCTTGTACCTAGCCTAGGCAAAGCTTATTCATGATCCATAAAAGTAATCTCTTTATCAATTCAAATGTTTAATCGAAAAAGCGTACGATACTTCACTGTAATGGTGCCAGCTGTGACAATACAAAAACACAAGCACAATGAATAAGGCAAACACCAAATGTAATGTTGTGTTAATTAAAATGTTATGTTCTCATAAGTAATGAAAAACCGTTTGTTCCAATGTTAGCAGCCTGCACTATACACCAATTATAATTTAGAATAACCTCGGTTGCTTTAGGTACATATTCAATGTGAAACCAATGTATGCCTGTTTAAGAATCATGTCTTGAATATGTTTTACACAACACAACGGATCAAGATTATGTACTTGATTAACACACCAGCAATAGAATACAAATTTAAAAGTGAATGGCCACTATATTATAGTTTCAAAAAACAAAAAAGCATAGACAAATTAAACACATTTGACCCACTTCATTACACCATATTGTGACAGTTCTTCAAATTGTGCAGTACCTAACTGAAACACTTGGTAAATGGTGTCGCATACATACCATGTGAATGGCGCATATGCATTGGCATAGTATTTTAATTTGTGTATGGGTTAAGGGGTACACCTGCATAAAGAACACTGAGTGAAGTTAAGTATTCATTCTTGAAAACAATGGACAACTGTTAACTTTTTAAATAATTATAGAAAAGATAACTTTCAATGTTCAAAAGTACAAGTGCTTAATTTCTTCCAACAGCATCTTCCCAAATCAATTACTTTATTTAGCAGTATTAAAAGGGAATACTATAGTTGGTTTAAACATTTTGGTTAACCTAATATTTACCAAATTTTACAGGTTTTTTTAGTTTTAACAGTGGGTTTTCATTGCAACAACGTTAACAATAAAATAATATAACATCAATAATAATAAAAGTTCATCCAAGGCTTACCCAAATCAGTTAATGTACATTTAAACACAATATTTCATACAGGCCTATTAACCAGATTTAACCTGCATCTAAAGCAAAGCTCCCTAAATAACATTTTTGACAAGCTTGTCTGCTAAAATCACAACAATCAATTGTAATAATGAAGGCCATCCTACATTACAGGAATTCAAATGGCTTTGCAAACACTACGAAAATGACAGTCTGAACCAGTCCTAAAATGTATTGGCAAACAAAAGCCATTATATGCCAAGACTCAAGTCTTGCACAAAATGTGAACGTCCGCACTTGTAGGAAACAAATTCATCCATATATTTTTTTTCACACGAAATACCAAATGTAACAAGTCTGCACCAAGCAAATACAAAAGCCACTTTATACAAAAAAACAAGCTCACAAAAAATAAAAGGGCAAGTTAACATGGGGGAGAGGAAATTGTGTCTTGCTCACAAAAACCCAGCACAAACAGCCCAACCCAAAGTTTACAGGTTAAAAGAGATTTTTTTTTTGCTGCTGAATCCCTTTTGTGGGAGTAGGATGAATCTGGTCTCTTGTGAGAAACTGTGGGATGGCCTCACAAATTGCAGACACCAGGCAGGACATTAAATATCTTTGTTAGGCGGTGTACATGTTTTTTCAGCTATATCTGGAGTCGTCAGGCACCAGACGCATCTGCCGGAAGAAAAACAGGGGGATAACTCCATCAAGACAAAGGTATTTATGAACATTTGCAAAATCACAAACTATTTTAACCATATACATTAGATACATTTCTCAAATATCCCCAGCTGAATAGTATTGGACTAATTTATCATTTTCGAAAATGCCATAAATATGGAGACTCCACTTTGCTATTTTGGGACAAAAATGTTCATATTCCACAATAGTAAGGTAATACTTAAAAGTACATACACTCTCATCTAATAATGTGCAAAAGACCAGAAAATGTCAGTTATATACAAACATATATATGTCAGCTGGTAAAAGGTGCTTTTTTCAGGAATATAGGGAGCCAGGCAGGTGAATATAAGCATTACCCTTCACAAATAGCCTTAAAAAAACGCCTTGGAATTAAAGTATCCAATATATATAATTGTTGTAGATTCACGAGTCTAAATGAAGAAAAATATCACAATGTTGCAAGAGCAGCTCTATTTTGTATCAACATTTGAGCATGTTTTCCACATTTCTATGCAAAACATTACATTTAAATGTACTAAAACGTCTTAGTAATATCTTACTATATATAAGAAAAATAAATCTGTAGCACCCACAAGAGCAAAGCAGGCAGGGGTAGCAGAGAGGATCACGCCTGCTGAAATCCTGGCTGGAAGCGTGCAGTCTCCTCAAAGATCATCTCTTTGAGCCGCTCCTTGGGGAGATCATCCAGTTCCATGTCAAATCTGAACGGCTCCTCTGCTACAGGCTGTCGGGAAAGCAATTTGTCAGAAGAATAGGCCACGTTGTTATCTGTAATAGAATTCATATTTTCTCATGCATAGACACAACCGAACAAGTGATTAAATAAGTTCAATTCTTTGATTAAATACATTCCCTCTACTTCTAAATACCATCACTATTACCTTATCGCAAATAATTTTTAATATTTTACATAAGTATTGCCGCAGCAATATATTAGGCCACAAGGAACATTTTAAAAGGGCGAAATAGATAAGTGTAATAGATAACAAAAATGTGATTAGCTTCGATAATTTACAATAGATACCAAGTGCAACAGTTCACGAAATATTAAATGTATGAGATGATGTTTTTATTTTTATTAACACTCTCCAACCAAGATTTAGAGCAATAACGGTATAGCGCTGTCTGGCTCGTCTGCAACAGGGTGGCACAATAACTGTTCAAGATGTTCCAATGTTAATCAAGGTATAAAGGTGTGTTGCTATTGATTGACAGAACCAGCTCAAAGAAAGTTAGCCTCCCCTTCCGATGACATAATTACATATGACATTTCATGGTGTCATCTTGCTCTACGCCAATTAACTTCATCACTAATTAATACTTTTGAGGACACGTGCATGTTGGAAAGCATTATAGAATCCATGCACGTGTGATTTTCTTCCTTTTGTAACTGCCAAGCTATGTAGCATAGACTTAATTAAACGTTGGAAATTTGTGCTATTTTCTAACCTCATCAGAAGGGTCATAGTACTGCTCCAGATACGGATGAGCCAAGGCCTCTTCCACGGTGATGCGCCTATGGGGGTTAAAGGTGAGCATCTTGTCCAGCAGATCCAAAGCTGAAAAAGAAACACACTAAAAACCTCAAAACTAATTCATAAGCATATAAAACACAGTTTAATTTACCATGAATGTAGGAATGTGTTGTTTGATGTTATATTTGGGCCACATTAGGGTTGTGGAACAGCAAAGTAAATATTTCACAGTGAATTTGTTAAAAAATAATTACCTTCAACCACATCAAATTTTCTAAAGCGCAAGTTGCGATGTGGAAACAGAAACAACATCGATTAGCAAGGCTGGCTACGTACGGTGCGTGAAAGAAGTTCAACAACATGCATAACTTACCCTTGGAATCCGCTTTCGGAAAGAGCCTGTTCCAAGGCACTTTGGCTTTCGGAGGAAGAGACTGCAGGTAATTCCTGGCCTTCATATTGATGATGCAGTCCAGGTCCTCTTGAGAAGGTGAACCGAGGATTCCTGCAACACATTGTCCAAAATAAATAAAAGGTTAGCTTTTTGCTCTTAGAATTTTTTTCTTAATAAAAAACGATATTCCATTACATTCAGAATACTCTCATCTGTTAAAACCAAATAATGGCATGACACCAGTAATAGCCGACAAATGTGAAACATTGAAACCAAGGCAATAAAAAAAAAACATCTTGTGGTTTTTGTACTGTAGGTGAATACAAGTCCAAAGATGCATGATAAAAAAAACACCATGTTAGTCTAGTTTAGGACAGGCAAAAGAGGGGAAAAAAACGTTCTGCTAATAAAAACAAATGAGCTCATTGTAGAACCTTTAATGAAGTAAACATTTAAAACCAGGATTTATTTTGTGACACATTCTCAATAACACATCGTTACCTAGGATGTGGTTGAGCTGGTCGAGATAATGCTTCCCAGGGAACAAAGGTCTGTTGGACAACATTTCTGCCAAGATGCAGCCCACGGACCAGATGTCGATGGATTTTGTATATCCCTAAAATTAACAACAATAAAAAACAAAAGTCAACATTAATACAAAAAAGGTTTAAGTATACAAATTAGTTGTTGAAAGCAACATTCGCTGTGTGAATAATTGAATTGTGAACTACTTACTTTGGAGTTCAGCATTATTTCAGGAGCACGGTACCAACGTGTGGCCACATACTCGGTCAAAAAACCTGTATGGTCATGGTCTGGGTCTGCTACTCGAGCCAAGCCAAAATCACAGATCTGAAGGAGAAAAAACCATATTGGCATAAATATTACACATTTCAATACAATAATCAGAAATTTTATATCTACTCACTCTACAGATCACATACAACTATTTTGATTCATCACACAAGACCTAATATGAAAATGATGTTTCACAAAAGTCCCATCCATTTTAGTTGGGTTGTAACAATGCATTAAATCATCACTATCGGTTCTAACGTACACAAGACATGTATTACATTACATGCATTAAAATAGTCGTTTTTTTATCAATCACTTTACTGCCAGGGGAGGTAAACAGTAACACCCCCGTTAACTTGGGACATTTTACGTTCACCCAAATCTTTACTATTTGGTGCTATAAATGTCCAAATGATAAGACACTTTGTTGAGCTATCATTTGTGGCCAGGTCGCTTCCGAAAAATAAGAAAACACCTCAGTGGGCTTTGCACGGTATGATGGGAATGTTTTTATTTAAAGCTTTCGTGACTACAGTGATTCATATTCTTGGTTCTTTCGGTAAAGTCGCGTTGAAGGGAAACAATAAAATATATATAAAACAATAAAATTCTCACGACGTTTCGACTGCAACACAAGCAGTCATCATCAGGTTTTCCCTTCAACGTGACTTTACCGAAAGAACCAAGAATATGAGAATGTTTTGGTTTTATTTGTAAATTTGTGCTATTTGTTTACTTTTATTGTACTTTGCACTACTATGTTCCTCTATTGTTTTTTATGTAATTTTCTTACCCACCCCTACTGGACATCTGTGAAAAATTACTTTATAGCTCATTGGATTCCTCCAGTATAAATAAATATCGTGACATATTCTGATTCTGTATCCAGAATTACCAGTTAGAATACCCAGTTCAATAAAAAAAAACTATTCTTAAAAAAAGCATTTTACTTTGAGGTCACAGGTGGTGTTGAGGAGAAGGTTGGATGGCTTCAGGTCACGGTGCAAAACATTAGCTGAATGGATGTATTTGAGTCCACGCAGGATCTGGTAGAGGAAGTAACAGATGTGGTCATTGCTAAGCTGCTGCCCCTTTAAAAGTTTGTAGAGGTCCGTTTCCATCAGATCTTGAACTATGTAGCTGGACAGTGGGGTCAAGGAATATTATTTGAATGCATTTAAAAATTGCAATTATTATTTCACTCAAAAAAAATTATACATTTTCATTCTCTGCTAATTTTAGGTGTGGCCAATAGTGACGGTAAATGTGTAATAATCAAAGACTAGCAAGGGGTCCCTACATTCATAGTTACCAAGCATGGTGACATAGCCGAGAGGTAACGTGTTTCTGCTTTTTTGCAAACGTTGTGGTTCGAGCCCAACGCTTGTCTTGGTTAATACTGCAGGTGTATTAGCAAAATGTATCGTCTGCTTCACAGTGACCGTTAATGTCGCCTTAACATTATTTGAAAAAGAGTCGGCCAATTGTGTCTGCATCTAGGTCCAAATTTGAAGAGCACTGGCAAATCACCAAATTGGGTAAAGCAACAATGCAACATCACCTCCTACTCTGAAACCACTGCAGATGATACTCGTCTGTCCAAGACAGAACGTCTGTGAAGGTCCTGTGCTATGACAATGAAGCGTATGCAAAAAAATTCAATTATTTAATCTGCAATAAAATAGGAGATATTTTGGTAAATTTCCACAATGTAACCTTTCCTTGATACACTGCTTTTGGGTAGTACAAATATCAATATGCTCTGTGTTCGTGTGAACAGAGATTGTGTGAGATCTAGAAGACAACATATAATAAACAAAAAGCTAAGTGAACTACAAACACCCTTTTCAGCATGATAAAGGATACACATCTTTCATTTGATCAATAGTCGATGCCCGAAGGATGTCGTTGATGCCGATGATATTTTCGTGCTTAAATCTCAGCAGAATTTTTATCTCGCGCAAGGTACGTTGGCAATATGTCTGGTGCTCAAAAGGGCTGATCTTCTTGATGGCCACTCGAACCAGCTTTACATTGTCGAAGGCAGCACTGAAAAACAAATATAAAACATTTCAAATTACTGCAGCTCTCTAGTGAAGACTAATATAGAAGCAGGGAAGAACAGGTGGTCCACAAGATAAACATTGTTTCACATCAATGTGCTTTGAATACATTTCCCACTTCCCATTTCTTGCCTTTTGTGCTGTGGCTGGAACCTACATCATTACACAATGCTTAACAACTTAATCAACGTTGTTACATGTAAATCAGCTCTTTAGCCCCTCCCTCGTATGCACCAAGCAGCATCTACGAAACACTGAACAGGACTGAATTCAGCAAAATAATAAAAAGGGTTTAACAGGCAGGTCATCAATGAAAAAGTTACTTTCCCATTACAGCTACAGTATCTACATAAACAAGCACGGTATAGGCAATTTCTATATGTCTCTGTATATACAGTACAGTGTTTAATTACGGATATTATTTTTTAAGGATAAACATTTTTTATTACATCTGAACCATACACTTGTACAAAATTTAAACATGTAGACAACTGGAGATCAAATTACTTGCAGACTTCTGGTTATCAAAATTCTGATTTCTCTGATGAGGTCAATTGGCACATTTTTACATTAAATTTCGAAAAACTGCCCATTCACTAAGTAGCTGACAGGGCATAAGTAAATATTTTTGTTAGCTTGATTAACCAATGTTATATAGATTCAGAATTGTTTTATTTCAACACATATCATAGACACATAAGCACAGTATTAATATACAGTACTTTCTTCTTAAGTACTAGACTTTATGCGTTTTCATTTACCAAGCAATAAGAAACAAATGCAAAACCACAAGCATGATTCCCTGCTGGCTATCTTGCTTTCTGCAAACATTGTGGCGACACAAACAAACTTCCGTTTGACGGATAAGGGGGCAAACTTAGTATGGTGTACAAAAATAAAGACATTACATTCTGCTGTACACGCATAGCTTGCACATAAAAGTACGAGATTGCTCTACCAGGTGCATGGTTTAATACCCTCCTGTGCAGGTGAAGTAAAACATACAGGGGAATGCTTCAAGAAGGGTCCATGTTCGAACAATAGTACATCGAGTCATTTTCATTGTACCTTCACTGGATAATTTCTAATAGGTACATGCCTCTGAATGTCACAAAACTTAAGTCCTTTTCACAAATGTTAACATGCAATGTCCATTGACGGTTATATTAGTGGTGAAAATACAGTCTGGTTTACAATTAAAAAACCATATCACCGATCTGAATGTAAACATGTGTATGGAGGGAAGTCAGAATTACACAAACGAGGAAAACTTTTGTCAACATGCAGCAAAGTTATACAATGCAATGCACACAATTAATTTGTCTCGGGACATTGCGGTGTCCATAGCGTTTCACTGTAAACACGTGTTTGCAGTAATTCTGAGTAAACAATTGGTGCCGATACTGATGATGGGGACAGCTGTGGTGCGACACCTACCGAGAACGCAACACGACACTCGTCGGTGGTTTTATAGGCAGAATTTTTTTGGCAAGCCATCTGCAGGCATACATTTTCTCCCCTGATGTGCACCGCGGATTAGCACAGTTGGCTATGTACCGTGCGAAAGAAGTTCAACATACATGTTGAGTTCTCTGGAACGTTTTCTCCCACAGGCAAACTGCTCTAGAAATAGCTCAAAATCCCAACGAGAAGGCTCCTATGAAAAAGCTGATTTCCAAGGTTAGAGTTTCCAATTATCATACTCCTGCATATGTAAATCGTAAATGATGTTAATCGCACATAATGGTGCATAGTGACAATGCTTTACTTATCCACGAGTAATTAAGTTGAAACTCATGAATGAGATTAAATAAACAATCGGTGGCTGACCATCGAACATTTTTGCAAAATAAAGTCTCAAAATAGCAAATCCCACATAGACCAAGTACGAAAATTTATGTTATTTAAAAGCAATGTGGCAATTATTGGAACATATTTTTGTTTTAGATTAAATTTAAGCTAGCGTTTCCTAAATAAAATGTTTAAAATGTGGGTAATTTTAGGTGGTGCCAGAAATCTAAAGAGAACACCCCATGCAATGAAACATTAACAAATTCAATGCAAAATGGTGCAATTTCACCAGTGCCTCAATCCTGGCCCAATGCCGTCTGAAATGAATTCACAAGGGAGAATGGAGGTTCCCCATCACACATTTGAAGCAGCATTGAGTATGTAAAATTTCACCCTGGGATTACTGGTAACTAACTACTGTACATTAATTCCATTAACACTGCTCATCAGTTTAAAAAACGCTTCAGCTGTTTATGCTGCATAATTTAGCAATAGCTAAAATTTATGGATGCGACTCTGTTGCCTCACAAATCGGTTACAAACATGTATTACTGCAATGAAAATCAGTGTACAAGTGCACCGGTGTGTGCAGTATGTCAAAGGTGGCCACAGATTTCAGCCCTGCGACATTTTAAAATATAGCGCTCACAATGCGGCTAGTAACAATGTACAGATGTGGATCAAGTATCACACCCGGACTAAGCTGCACAAACGAGGATTATTTTTTTGAATCTGACAGCTGGATTAGCATCATGAGCCACGATCTATCCACTGATGGCTGAAGGTCTCCCCACACTGTAACCCTCCTTCATGGTCTCGCAACTCGACAATTCATCTAGTTCTTGCATATAAGTTAAGTCTCCGTTCCATTTCTTCGGTGGTCATCCTCCAAGGCACACCTTCCCCTATGGCTTCCATTCCATCATCCCATCTGGGAGATGCGTTCTTGGAAGCCCACGTTTTAACAGTTGATGTTTATAAAAATTGCATTTTATATATCTGGTTTTACGTTTGTTTATTCATGTGTTCCCGACTCCCAATGCCATTCTGAACTTGCACTTCACAATGCTTTTTGGCGCACTTTTCCGAAATCGTTGTAGTTTATTTGTTAGTGTCCATATTTCTGATCCATGCAATAGCAGACAATATATACTTAACGTTTATGCAGATACGTCTATTGAACCTAACACCATCCAAATTACTTGACTCACTTAAGCATAACGTATATTCAGAAAAGCAAAGCTTGACCTCACCCAAAATATCAGAAATCGTTGCCTTTGAAAGAGGGCTGTAGGGCCTACCTATAAAATGTAAACCCATATGGGCACTCACACTTTGCCTGCAACAAAACCACCACGTGTCCAACCTCTTCAGGTTTTGCAAGCTCAGCATTGTTGAACTTGGATGGGTGACCACCAGGACCTTTGTTGCAGGCGAGATGGGCAGAGCTGTCGCCACTCCCTTTGCACGTGGGGATTCATTTTCTGGATACTTCATTTCGATGCCACACTCAGCTCATTCATTGGAAGTGATCATGAGAGCTCAGCTTTCATTTTCTTGAAACGTTTATTGAAATTCCAAACGTGCACCTTCCTGACACCTTGTATTTACGACTCGACGGGGCTCTCCCGGACAAACAAGTGTACAGTAAGTAGTTTATTTCCGTTAAGCACTGCGCGTTAAGGACCTATTTCCCACAACCCTACCTCAAACTCCCCGTCATCCACTAGGCCATCGGTTCCAGTGCCGCGTGAAAGACGTCAACAACAAACAAAAAATCCATCTCGTCTTCCAGCGAAACACCTTGTGAAGGAGGTCATATTCTTTGGGTCTTTCGGTAAAGTCACGTAGATAGAGAATTAATAGGTCACGACGTTTCGATCGTCTTCAGGTAAGAGATGGGTGCAGCCTCAGGGTAAGAGGGCAACAAAAGCGGTCGTCATCAGCCCCCTTTTACTGAGGACGACCGCTTGTGTAGCGATCGAAACGTCGTAGTTTTTTTTCCAACAAAAAATATATATTTGAACCTATCTACGTGACTTTACTTGAAAGACCCAAAGAATATGACATTCCCGCAGTCACGAAAAGCCAAAAAAAAAAGCTTCGTGCCGAAAGGGCGTTTTCCTAGCCGAGGTCAAGCGGTGTGGCGGCTCCTGCTCAGCTGGTGACGACGCTGCAAAGCCATTGCATTCAAAGACGAAAGGCAATTACGTAACCCACCAGTGCAACGAGGGGGGTTTTTTTAACAGGACGGCGACTTTACGTTTAATATTTCCACACCGCCTGCCGCCCCCCCCCCCACAACATCATCATCAACGAAGAAAAAAACCACTTGGCTCGGTCGGCCCCGAGCCTGTTCGCACGTCAACCCCCAAAGTCGAAACAATTTGTCGGTAACAGCAAACGCCTCCTCGCCAGCCCCCCCTCTTGACGATCTCAAACGTGGCCGCTGTGTTTGCATCTCAATGGGGCCCACGGCCACAGGGCGGTGCCTCCTCGGCATTGCCACGATGACAAAAACAATGCAGCAGCAGCAGCGACAACTCCTTTCGAAAGCAATCACCGCCTGCCCACTGAAAACACTTTCCCAACAACAACAACGCCGCCGCCGCCGCTTTGGCGAACGATTAACAGCGACAACGACCAAAAAGAAAATGCGAGTGCACGCGGCGGAAAGCCGTGTGAGAAGCACCGAGGCGTGAACACCGAGGCGTGAACACCGGAGCTGTTGCCGCCGACGCCCGCCCACCCCCACGCCCGAAAACCGCCGACCCGCTAAGGCGTAGCCCGAGACTCTCGTCCATCGCATTCCGCACAGCGCACACGGACGCAGCCGCCGCCGCCAACCGAGCGCGGCTTCACCACCACCACCACCCCCGCCCCCACCGTGGCCCGAGCCGCCCGGGCCACAGTGCGCGTCGCGACCAACCAGCGCACGAGCGCGCGCCTACGAGGACTACGCATTCGAATCGCTCCCATAGAGACGGAGGAGGAGGAGGGGGGGGGTGAGCGGGTGGGGGGGGTGAGCGGGTGGGGGGGGTTGGTGAGCCGAGAGAAAATGAAGGCCGCCCCAGCTTCTCACCACCACCACCACCACCCCCCCCCTCCTCAAAACACTCGCCGCTTCGACAACTCCCGCCGCCCGCCGTCGCGCCGGCTCGCTCACCAGACCATGCCGTAGGCGCCCTCGCCGATGTAACTGAGGCTCGTGTAGCGGGGGCCCACGTCGAAGACCTGACCCTTCACCACCTCGGGCTGCTGCGCGGCTCCTTGCGTTGGCGTCGCCATCTTGGGGGGCCCCTGGGCTCGCGCTGCGCAGCCCTCGCGCTATTGGTCCGCCGCGCCTCACGTGACGCGGAGCCACTGCAGCAGCTTGATTGACAGGGGGGCGGGCACCACGCCCTTCTCGCCGGTTGGGCCCCTCCTTCTCTTGTCGGGGCTCCGCCTCCTCGTCGAGTGGACACGCCCCCCCCTCCCCGTTCGAGTTTCGACCCCGCCCCCCTGATGGGAACCAGCTGTTGAGGCTGTCCACGCCCGCTTTTGAACAGCCCTTCCCACCACGTGTTCAGATGAGACGCAGCGCGCTGCGATTTGGAGTTAACGACTCAACGGCCGCGTTCGCCAATAACTAGATGCCTGTGTGTACATGCTGTGTTGAAAAGGGAGAACAAAAAATGCCTAATCGCCAACGTTTCGGGCAATAGCCCTGCTGCGTAGTACATTTTGATGTGCTATGAAGAAGGTCCATTCCCCGAAACGTTCCCGAATATATATTTTATTTTAAAGGCAGAGTTATTGACACATGTGTTGAGTTGTGTTCATTGTGCTTGTCCATCGCTCTACCAACGCAGTATCACTAAATAATTAGAAAAATGTATCTAGTATTGGTTTGTTGGGTTGGTAATCTTGATTGTTTTTGTTAACCTGTGCCAGGTTTTTTTTATTTAAAAAATTATATTAAAAGCTCCAATTTTATATTGGTGATGGTCCTGATGTGTACCACCTGAGGTATATACCCTGGTGTAAAACTTACGATGCAGAAAAGGACAAACCCATAATGGACATACACAGACTTTGACAATCTACTGGTAGATTATGGCTAGTTAGTTTAACCGTACTTCACCGCTCTAGTCAGTGCAGGCGGTGAGCATAGATGCACGGTGCAATGTTATTTTTTTATGCACTGTCCACAAGCCAGCCCAACAGCACTCGATATGAACACCTGCAACAGCACTGATGCTTATGCATGGTGGCCCCTCATCCACGTACTACAGGCTCAAGTCTTCCTCGCTGTGAAATCTAAATGATTCAAGATGATTTGGTAATTAGAGAATGTAAAAAAAAACCTCCCTGAAGCTACGTATGCCAAATATGAGCAATGCGATTTTCAAGACCTGCCCCCTACTGGATATCTGTGGAAACGAGCTCCATAGCTCATCGGATTCTTCCAGTCTGAAGATTCAGATTCTGAAGTCAACTGTAGTAGATGCATGCGAATAAATTACAACAGTACTGGTGCCTGGCTGGACAAGTTATCATTCATTAGAAAAGAAAAAAATAAATTTCGATTCACATCTGTGAAAAAGAGCTTTGTAGCTCATCGGATTCCTCGATTATAGATACAGTATTCCGATTATGAAACATTGGGAGCGTTTCTTAACCCACCCCCCCCCCCCGTTTCGATCAACCCAAGCAATTATAAACGGATACATCCTTCAGAGTTGTTCGCCAGGTCGCGTGTGCTTGTGTAACGTGTTGAGTAATGTTGCAGTCCCCAACCTTATAGCAAGACATCTGTTTAGCGTGGCAGAAAAAAGTCAAAATACCGTCTGGGGTCGCTCTCTGGACCTTCCCAGCAGCGGCACGAGCAAGTAATTTCAGGGCTGCGCCTGTACCTTTTCTGTATGCGTTAAAGGGACGTTTGTTTATTTTATGCCACCCCATTTAGGCACAGTGTGGAAAGCACCACTCTTGGGTAAGATAATAACTAGAGCACTGTGTAGACAGCGGTCTGAACAGGCCCCGTGCTTTTTTAATGAAGTTGCCCTTGCCTAGACAATTACAGGCAACATGTAAGCATTCCCTCACAGGTCTGACTTATGCAATTTGTAGGTTTATACTTTATTTATTTTCAGTGACTTGCTAACCTTTTGTCTAGTTTGCACTCCTATCGTTTTGTTAAAATATCGTTTACTTGCTCACCCGCCCTTATGGGACATCTGCGACAAAAAAGCTTCAGAGCGTATCGGATTCCTCCCGTATAAATAACGATTCTGATTTAGACGAGACTACCAAATAATTAAGTGATCCATTTTGCTTGTATGTATGTTGAACTTCTTTTCGCACTGTACGTATCCAACCCTGCTAATCGGAGGTGCGGGGGGATGACAACCAATGGAACACAATAGCGCGGCTGAAAATTATTATTGGTGTGCAAGGCCAAGTTACTGATAGACAAAATAAATCCTGTTATGTTCTGAGACGAGCCCTTGAACGTGTCTACTTGTTAATATAATACCCACGATAGAGATGCTGCTTTGGTAAGAAATGGATATGCACACGGTGGACTCTACTGGACATCTGTGAACCGACTGGGCATGTGTGATAAAGAGCGTCATAGCTCATCGTATTCCTCCAGTCTAAATATTACGATTCTGACTTGCAACCCGGAGATCGTATAGTTTGGTCTCTCGGCAACGTGTCAAAGTAGAAACAGTGGTGCAAGTTTCATGAATCCCACCCCTCCACCGCTCTGTTCACACCACGCAGTATAAACACAAATGTCACGGTACCTTTTTGGCAGTGCCAAAGTATGAAAAATAATAATAATAAGTTTTATCCCTTTCTGACAGACTTTATTCCTTGCCAAAGGTATCTCTTTAGGTGTTTGAACATCTTAACGCATGTTTTATTGGCAGAAAAGGTAAAACCTATTAATATTATTATTATTTTTGAAAAAATAAAAATGGGTAAACAGCAGTCCATCAGCGGGTTGATGTTCGATGGTGAAACGTATTGGGTTGCTTCCACCTTTGGCCGGCGTGGAAGAGCAGACCCAAAACCACCCTCTAGAGAGAGGCACTCTTAAGAGATCTTCTTCAATTGGTGGCACCTCCTGAAAGCAGTCATACTGATGCAAGCAGTTGGCGTGGCTCCATCTTTACATTCATATTTGCATCGGCATGTACAACACAGAGCCGCTGTGTTTCTTTGCAGGGTTTATTTGGACCATTACATTTTTTAAATTGAATACAACAAGCGTACAAAACTGCCAAACGTAAAGTTTCAATGCGTTTTGGGGTTAATACTGTATTGCATAGATCTCGGCTCGATATAAAGGACTATTAGAAGTATTAACACGTACAATAGACAGCATTGTTTAATCATCATCGGGTCTATATGAGGCTACACAAATGGACAGCTGTACCACTACGTTAAGGTGAAATACACGTGTAAATGTTACCTAAAGCATTACTTATACCACTGGTGTTCATACTGAACACACGTCATCTTCACAGAGGGGAATAACGGTCGCTACATTACCTAAATATTTATTTTAGCACTGACCTGTATTTAATATGCCGCAGAACAAAATACAAGATTGAACAAGTTCGGTGCCAAGCCACAGCTACGAAGAGCCTTCGGAACTCAATACAAAATGTACACAAACTCTTGACGAGCAGGCACTGCATTGAAAGATGTAGACTATTTGTAGTAGAATATCATTTATATATGTGGAGGTAATCATGGACAAGGAGGCATGGATCTGTCCACCTTGCCCGTTGTTGAGTGACACATTGTTTTTTTTTTTACAGTGCGCGCAATTATTGTATCACCATTTACCGCTTTTAAAGTCACAAGCAAGCGATTGGTTTTGCTTTCAAATAAAAACGTGGTTTTACTGACACTCGGGCTGTTTATGGTTTCATCACCTGTTGCCGTAAAAAAGTGTGCATTGTTACTCATAAGGAATGGGATATGGTTTAAGGTCATCTCTGCGCAGATCTGCCGTAAGCCTACAATTTATGAGCGTCCACATTAGCTGTTGACCTGCAATACTGGCGAAACCTTTTCCCTGTGACGTGTACCCTCACGATGGACAAACAGCCTGTTAATTCATGCCTGTGCAGATCCGCCTGTGTATGTGTTAAATGCATGTCGTGCAGGAAGGGTAATGTCCGCAGCCAGCGATTCACAGCTTCCCCCCACCCAACCTGCCAAATTTCTTCTGCTGAGCTTTTCCTGTTTACAAGAAAGTGTTGGGGGGGGAGGGGGGGGGTCACACCACCACATCCCACAGACAATCAGGGCAGCGAACAAAGCGCGTCTCTCAAGGTCTATACTAGGTTCACTTCATGTCAGCATGCATTAAAACAGTGGCTCTCAAAGCCAAGGCCTTGGGACCCACCACGGATGTCTTTCACATCGGCAAATATATTATATTTATATGTAAATTAGGTAATGTGATATATATATTTGTCACTATGTTGAAAGCTCGAATTAGGCCGAAGTGTCCAAGGCCCTTAATACTGATACACTATTGACCTGAATCCATGTATATTGTACAAGGTTAGTTAAGGGGTTCAAGGATTTCCCACGCACCCACATTGGTCGAGGCCTGTCACTTGTATTTTACATTCCAGTTTCTGCATGTGAATTGTACTTCACCACCAAATTATGAGTTATGTTGTATCTACTCATCTGCTTAAGTAGTGTACATTTTGAACATGTATTACAATTTAACAAACGTTCAAGACAATTATTTTTAAAATGATAATCCTTTTTGAAATGATAAATATTTATGTTTCAATTGCTTTCAGGGGGTGGAAGATATTTCCAGCAAGACACTGGACATATCTGGCCATCCTTGTGTTGTGGCAGCAAAGTTTAACATTCGTGGTAAGACCTTGTTTTGTTAAGCAAATTAAATACTACACACTAAGGGAAAGAAATTGCAGCTATGTACAAATTCCAGATGTGTACAAATATTCGATTATCTGGCTGCTATAAATTTGCACATGATAAGCCACTTCGTTGAGCTGTGATTTGTGGTTAGGTCGCTTCTCAAGAAGAAGCTAATAGCACAGTGGGCTTTATCTGGTAAAAGAAAAACAAAGTTTGAAAAAATGTTTTAGTGATTTGCTCACATTTCCTGTACTTTTCACTCCTATCGTGTTTTTTGTATTGTTTGTACTGGAAATCTGTGCAAAAGAGCATTATAGCTCATCGGATTCCTCCTGCAGTATAAATAAATACAAATTTATGATTCTGAAATAGTTTTTTTGTCCTTCACTTTGCTAACTAACTGCTGAATTGGAAAGAACATTGAAGTGTCAAGTCATTTATTTTCCA